AATCAGAATGTCTCTGTGCAGTTTGGGGGGTCCCTGTATGGTTTGGGGGGGGTCCCTGTATGGTTTGGGGGAGGTCTCTGTACAGTTCAGGGTCCTGGGCAGTTTGAGGGGTTCCCACACAGTTTGGGGGGGTCTCTGTAAGTTTTGGGGTCACCTCACTGTTCGGGTCCCCCCTGTACAGTTTTGGGGTCTTTGTAGACTTTTGGGGGACCCTGCATATTTTGGTGTCCCCCCAATTTTGGGGACCAGTGTACAGTTTTGGGGTCCCTGTACATTTTTTAGGGTCCCTGCACATTTCAGGGTCCCCTCGCTTTTTAGGGTCTCTTTACAGTTTGGGGGGGTCCCTGTATGTTTTGGGGTCCACCCACTTTTTGGGCCCCCTGTACAGTTTTGGGGCTCCCTCCAAGTTTTGAGGTCCCCCCACAGTTTGGGGCCTCTGTACATTTTTGGGGTTCCACGCACAATTTGGGGGTTCCCTGTACTTTTTTTGGGGGGGGTCCTTGTACGTTTTGGGGTCCACCCACTTTTTGGGGTCCCTGCACGTTTCAGTGTCCCTGTACAGTTTGGGGGTCCCTGTATGTTTTGGGGTCCCATCTACTTTTTGGGGCTTCTGTACAGTTTTGGGGGTCCCTGTACGTTTTGGGGTCCACTCGTTTTTGGGGACCCCTGTACAGTTCTGGAGTCCCTGCACATTTTGGGGGTTCCCTGTACATTTTGGGGGTCCCTGTGCTTTTTGGGATCCCCCCTACTTTTGGGGATCCCTGTACAGTTTTGAGGGTCCCTATACGTTTTGGGGTCCCCTCACTTTTTGGGGCCCTGTATGGTTTTGGGGTCCCTGTACATTTTTTGGGGGGTCACTGCACGTTTTGGGGTCCTCTCACTTTTTGGACCCTCTGGACAGTTTGGGGGTCCCTGTACGTTTTGGGGTCCCCTCCAATTTTGCGGTCCCTGTACATTTTTGGGGGTCCCTGTATGATTTTTGGGGGTCCCTGTGCGTTTCAGGGTCCCCCCGCTTTTTGGGACCCCTGTACAGTTTTGGGGTCCCCTCGTTTTTTGGAACCACTGTACAGTTTTGGGGGTCCCTGGATGTTTTGGGGTCCATTCGTAGTTCGAGGTCCCTACACAGTTTTGGGGTTCTTTGTATATTTTTGGGGGTCCCTGTACTTTT